TTGCCGACTTCATCTACTGATAAAATGAAACAAGTTATCATTATTCATATTTCACATCTATAATCTTAATTTTGAATTAACAAATACATGTATATTTTTTTTTCATGTTCAGCCATATATATACATTTCAAAAACATTCTTCTCTTCAAAATTACCTTTGTTTTCTTCTTCATCTCTTCTGTCATTGTCTTTCTCCTTTGATTTTCTATCTGATGACTTTTCTCTTCTATCTCCAGATTTCCTGTCACTTGACCTTTCTTGACTTCTTGATCGCTTGCTTCGGGATCTTCTGTCCCTCGATTCCCTTCTATCCCTACTTCTGGATCTTTTATCCTTGCTTTTCTCACTGCTCCTACTGCGACGTTTTGAGTCACGGTCTCTTGTGCGAGATCTGGAGGTTGACCTTGATCTTCTGCGATGAGAACGGTGACGATCCCTTGACCTACTTCGTGATCTTCGTCCCCGACTTCTTGACCTACGATGCCTATAAGGAAATTATAATAAGGATTAGATAAATCATAAACAATAACTTTTATATTTATTTACCTGTAATAATTGCTAATGGAATTTACAAATTAATATATGAGTTTGTTTTCACTTAGACTGTCTCTTCAAAATCTGTAAAATGGTCCTCAAACAAAAGAAATACCTGTCCCTACTACGGGATCTTCTTCGTCTGGAGCGTTCCTTTTCCCTTTCTTTTTCCCTTTCCTCACGTCTCCTCTTTTCTCTTTCCTCTCTTTCTCTCTCTCGTTCTTCTCTCTCCTTCTCCTTTTCTTTCTCTCTTTGTCGCCTTTCTTCCCTTTCCTTTTCTCTTTCCTTTTCCCTTTCTTCTCTCTCCTTTTTCAGCCGAGCTTCTCTCTCCTCATCAGTCTGATTCTTTTTCTGAATAACAAATAAAACATGTAGTATCTTTAAAGACCTTACCATGACTCTTGTGAATTGGGTATTATGACACTAATTTTATCTTCTGCGAGTTCTTAAAGCCTTACTTGAAAGTAAATTTGAGTGTTTCTCTTTGAAAAAATAAATACTCAGCAATCCAAAAATTTTAATGCTAATTTTACTTGTTAACTTGCAAAAGAAGTCAGAAAAGTTTTGAAAACTTCAATGTATAACTTTTTAATATCATAAGCAATATAATGTTGCGCTTAAAAAGATATGTGTTTTTTTAAATCACTTTATTGATTAAAACTTTCAACCAAAGGCCATGTGGATTAATTTGTCAATGTAGAGATTCTACCAGGCAACCAACAAAATACTACAAAAGTTCCCTGGGTCACACTAACCTGTTTCCAGTCATCCACATAGGCCCTGATCCTAGCATAGCCAGCATGCTGTTTTCCCATCAAGTGTTCATCGATACGTTGCTGTACATCTCCTACCACCAGTAGAGCTCCACACACTGTACACACCTCCATCGTCTTCTCCGGTTCATTGGATTGCTGTGCAAGCTTACTCTACAAGTGTTAAAGATGGATTTCATTTTTTTTTTTGGAAAGTTTGTTCACTCTGAAAATGTTACAGATGGATTTTTCCCCACTGTGCTTAATAGTTTTTGGGGTTTTTTCTTTTTTGCTTATTTTCCAAAAATTGTGATTTTTCTAAACTATTTACTTATTACAGTAATCTATAAGACCTTGCTTTTCTATTTGTATTAACTACAATTTTTTTTTTTTACCCAATAGAGGTGTTAGTCAGTTCAATGCATTTCCCGTCTCCTATTTTACCACATGTAAGATAGGAGATAGTCAGCCCACAGCTTTGGCTGATTTCAGGACCCCTGCACTTTCATCATTTAACACCCTTCTTTTGGGCTCAACATTTATGTTTGTCTGATTGTCCGTGTTCCAGTTCATTTTTGTTATCAGATGACAAGCTTGTTCGATTTGACAAGTCTCCTTTTATATCATTTTGGAACATTGTAGATATAATTTTAAAAAAACACACAAAATTCATCTAACACAGTTCTTTTTTTTAATGGCAAACATCCAAAACGAAATGTTACAATCTCGACTCAGTCACACATCACCGAATATCATCAACTGACTAGCTTGATCGAGACTTCACTAGATTACAGACATTACTACTGTACTTTAAATCAATGATGTTTTTATTTTCATGATTAAGAAAATAATTTAACAAAATATTTTATATCTGTTCAATATAGGACAAGTAAACAATGAATTCGGACAAGTAACATTTGTTGTCAACTTGTCCTATGGACAAGTGAATATTTTAGTTAATGTTAGCTCTGTATATCATTTAAAGAATGGTAAGACACATTGATGCATCTGTTTATTTATTTTCTAAACAAACTTATAAACTGCATTAAACATCTTTTCATTTTGTATTTCTTTTTGAACCAAAGGAACTAGTTTTTACCTGATACTGAGTAACAGACATTACTCTGTCATTTATGGATTGGTTAGTAATAATGTAATTGAAATTAAATAGTGAGGTACACTTTGTAATCAAGGTAGTTTAAATGCAAGTACGAAATGATTTCTTCTTTATACACATATTTTACGCTATAAATCACTTACAGTTGAACTTCAGTATCTCGAACACTTATACATGTATCTTGAATACCATGGATATGTCGAAGTGATTTGGAGGTCCCAATCACTTATTCTTTATGTATTTTACCCTCGATATCTCAAATCTTTGGATATCTTGAAGTTTTTTCTCGGTCCCATCAAGTTGGAGATAATGAGGTTCGACTGTATTTGCTTATAAATTTTCATATTCATATCAGGGCATTCAAAATCTGCCGGTACCTAGTACTAATACCCGGCTGAAATCATGATTGTACTGGCCAAAATATTTTATGGAGAAAAAATTTGATTACATATTTAATTAAAATTGTTTCCACAAGATACTGTAAACCAACTTTTATTTGCGTGCGAGAAATATTTGCAAGTTTCACAACCTACTTAAATTCGCTAACATTAATCGCCGCGAACCAATTATTTTGCTTTGTATTTGTAGAGAATGTTTCCTCAGTCATGAAAAATAATCATCTTTGATTAATTTCAAACTGAAGAATCGTGAATAAATGATGACGCAAATAAAAGTTGGTTTACAGTACCTCCTATTTTTGTAAAAGTACCACCTGTTTCTAATCTTTTTGAAAGCCATGTTCATATGATACTCATTTTTTTATCCATACTTTGTGTAATTGTTTAAAAAATATCACCAAAAAAAAAATGTCCAGCTTACATTCTCCAATTCCCTTCGTTCTTCTTCAAGTTGATCACAAAGTTTCATCATTCCCTGAGCCTCCTCTACTTTACCTTCACATCCCAATTCTTCAGCCTAGAGAAAGGAAAAATGGAAGAGAAGAATGAAAAGTGTTCAGAGAATTAGCAAGTTATAATCAAGATTACAGTTGAGTCGCAAAAAAATTGGCAAGGTTAAATTGTACTCTACAGGTATATCAACAAAGAGATAGAGCTAAGTTGTCTTGACAGGACCAATACCCCCTGCAGGGGCACAATAAAAGTGTGCATCTCATTATTCACTTTCTAGTTGCACCATATGGTTCAGAATATGTCTGCAAAAATTTTCACTGAACATCCCCCCAAAAGTTGTCTTTATGTAAACAAGTAAACACACCCCTGCATTAACATGTAGCTGTCTGAAAACCTATATATAAGTTTCCTTCTTATAGAAAACAATAAAATTCCTCTCTATTTTTTTCCTGTTTATCCAACAGAACTGACAAGTTACATTTTATGAAATAGGAAATAAAGATTTCCTAACAAATATAAATATGGTTTAACAATATTAAGCATGGATGCACACATACAATAAACTCTGTACATGCATTTACATTCTGTAGCATTTTAATGAGGAAGAGTACCTGTTGTACAAGATCAGCAATTCTCTCCGTCAGCATCTTTATTTTGTCATCTTTCAAAGAATTCAAATTACTACTTAGCTAAAAGGTAAAACAAAGCATGTGTAAGCACCAAAAATCTCAAATACATGTATATGTTGCATGTTCACATCTTTTTAATTACTCCTGGATTTCTGAGGTAGGAAAGATTGTTTTTCTTTTACAAGAAATGATTAAAAACAATAGTTTGTTTTACCATGAATTTGATATTTGACACATCAACCCTTGCGTGTGATAATTGGCCAATAAGAGGCATATTTTACATTTGTTTTCCTGTTATCCTTTATTTTATAGAAAGATCCTCCCAAATCTTAACTATCAAGCCTACACATTACATGTATCTCATTTCTTTAATAACTAGATACTGTAAATCACTGTTTATTCGCAATAACTTTTAATTTTGCGTAATTATATAAGAAGATCTGCTTGTGAAAATTCATTCTCATGAATATATACAGCATTAGCCTGCAATTGTGAAAATTTTGTTTCTTAGAAAAAAACAAATACCTATCTTTCAAAATTAAAGTGTCATGAGAATTTGGTGATTTACAGTACTCTTTAGAAATTATTACTAGTCCATAATTATAGTAATAAAATTCTTACACTGCCCTGGGAGTTATTCAAAGCCAGTCTCTGATGCCCTCTACGAATTCTCTTTTCTACATCAGAAATAAGACCTTGCAAAAATCGCAAAAAGTCATCTTCATATCCCATCTTCCCAAATTTAGAACTTTTGTTATACCTACAAAAAGATTGTAAGCAGTGATTCACTTTGGTGTGCATCCTGTGTGAATTATGCATCAATTTTGCTCATGATGCATGATTTCAATAAATGTGCATCCCAATGGATGCAATAAACTTAGAGAGATATATAAATTGTTGTCTTTTTTTTCGGATATAAAATGAATCATGAAATTGTTGTTTGCATTATGTCCACTTGCTATGCTATATTGAACATAGTGATTTTGGGACATATTTACACTATGCAGGTATGCCATATAAGGCTACCTGGCCAAAAATAATTAGTTCAGGTTTCACTTCTTCAGTATTATTAGGGTTAGGCCAAACAAAAAAATATGCATGGTTCCGGTTACACTTCCAAAAAAATTAGGGTAGGTAGGTAGGGAATTTTTTTTTTTTTTTTATTTTTTTTTTTAACAAAATGTTTTTCTTAATTTTTCTAAATAATACCTATCACTGCTTTGCAAATGCATTTAGATGTGGTGTGATAATATACTAGTCAATATTGGTAGGGGACATCTCAGGTTAGCTTGCTTTGGATTTAACACAATTAAACACTTGCACAATGTTTTGCAAGGAGGCCGTCATTGCTGTAACTAAAACTTAAACTTAAGCCATTGATGGAAATCGGGGAAAATTCCGGAAAAATATGAAAATTGCCAAAAAAAAGTTTAGGGTCGGGGGTATAAAATAGGGAAGGTCGGGTAACCGGAACCACACATATTTTTTTATTTGGCCTTAGCAAGCAATTATCAGAAAATAGTTGCAAACTACAATGAGCATGGTTTAAATATGTCTACCGTGACATACCGTCAAAATATTTAGTTTCTTAAGCAAACATGATTGAATATTAGGTAAATGTTAAATTTTAATTTTTCCCCTATATATAAGTATTGACTCATGATTCGTTCTAACTATATTTTTTATTAACTTACTCTTTTCTAAGTGCTTCATCATGCATCTTTGTGCAAGGACCTGAAGAAAAGAAAAATGAAATTCTTTGTTAAAATAATCATCAAAATATATGGTCAAATTGTGAAATATTTACAACATAAGTCAGTGTGTACCCCTTTCTGCAGTTTTCAGTGATGTGAAGGTTTTTGTCATTAATTTGAGCTTTTCAGTACAAGTAATCCCCTCGCTTAATTTTCCTATGTACATGAGACAATGTTAACTTTCTATTATGAATATTTTTCTGTTGACATATTATATCCTTTTGTATTAGTATGTATCATTTATAAGGCCATAATGAAAGAATTCCTAGATTCTCATCCAATTTTTTTGAAAAATTGAGGTGGGCAGGCAGATTTTATTTTATATTTTTTTTATTTCTTCCATTCTACAGATTTTTTGTTGACCTGATCAATAGGTGCAGATTTATTATTATGCCCAAATAAAAGTAACAGCAGTGGTCCATTTAAATTTACATATCTCTTACTATACATCCTCTCATTCTTTCAAAACCAATGATCTTTTTTAAATACATATTAAAGCTATTACCATCTTGTCAGCTGTCAAATTCACACTGACATTCGCAGGATTTAAAACGAAAGTTGAATGGTAAGTTGAATACTAATCCTGATCAGAAACAAGATGAAGAAAAACAGAAATAAAAAAAATTGGGGCGGGCAGGAATGAAAATCTAGGAATACTTTTATCATGGCCTAAATGTTATCCAAGTATATATATATGGGCTGTCACATTTCCCGAAATAACCGAAAACCGCGGTCAAAGTTGTTTGGTTCGGTTTCAGTTCCATTTCTCCGGATTTCGGTTTGGGTCTGGTTTATATATTAGAATCTGTTTTATACAAAAAATCACATCGAAATCAAAAGAATGATGACGATAAACGGATAACAGTGATAAATAAACACCACAACTGAATTATACTTTGATCATTCCAAGAACAAAACACTTGTCACGAAAGGATTAATTATATAAACAAGCAAGAATGGTCAGGTTGTAGCTAATAGTCAGCCTAGTAGTCCTAAACAAAGATGTCAAGACATTTAGCGAGTATTTCCCTTAATTAATGACACTGACAATAGGGCTGTCACAGTTCCAAAATTTTTCGGGTCGGGTCGGTTCTGTAAATTTTCGGTTTGGTTTTGGGTTTTTCAGTTTGGTTATTTACATCTATTTTAAACCTTAATTTCATGAATTTAACTTGAAAAATCTTTATTTGTTACATTAATTTTACATTGAAAACAAGTCTTAACCATGCAAACGTCTAGACATCGGTGTGTTGAACTACTTGACCTACTATTAGCCACAACCTGACCATTCCTGCTCGTTTTGATAATTATCTAATACTTCTGTGACAAGTGTTTTGTCATGGAATGAAGTAGACTTCAGTTGTGATGTTTGTTTATCATTGTTATCGTCATCATTCCTTTGATTTCGACGCCATTTTTTGCATTGAACAGACTCTAATATATAAACCAGACCCGAACCGAAATCCGAAAAAACGGAACCAAAACCGAACCGAACAACTTGGACCACGGTTTTCGGTTACTCATGACAGCCCTAACTGACAACAACAACGCCAACAACAACAGACAAAGGACAAATTTTGATCAGATATTATCTTTCGTCTTCTTTAAAATAAATACTTTTTTCTCCATTTCAAAGGTCTAGTAGGAGTACTAAATATTTGAAGTGGCACATAAAAATAATATTCTACATAGATCTATAGATAGTTTTCGACAGGCCTGAATTTAGCAAGAGTTATTTCCCATTGGCCGCCATATTGGAGGTCCAACGAGTGAATTTTCCTCTTTGAGCAACCAATTTTAAACTTGTATGGCAGAAGTATAAGGGCAAAATCTTAAAAATACTAAAATTGCGAATTAAAGGAAGCTTGTGTTAAGATAAATTCGTGAGAAAAATTGTGTTATCTTCACCCAATTGCCCAGTACGACAAGTTTTAAATTGGTTGAATAATGAAGGAATTTTGGGCTTGTATACCTCCAATTTGGCGACCAATGGGAAATAACTCTTGCTAAACTCGTGTCAATCAAAAACTCTCTATTTGTAAAAATAATTAAGATTTCTTGTGTTATTCATAACTATTCTGCATTGCTTACCCAAGTCCGCTCTTGTGTTGGTGAAAAGTTCATGTGGACAAAAATTGACAAGGAAGTGCTTGCACACCTGCAAAAAATGCTGACCATGCTAAAATATTAAGGGTTATTGTTTGATACTTTTGAATCATCTACATCCTTTTAAACTTTTACAACGGTGCTTACCTTATGCATCGTGCAACCCCCACCCCCTCCCCTTCTGTAAGATCCGCGCATGCATTTGAAACAATGTAATAATTGCTAAATGATAATGGCAACATACGACTCGTTATAAGTTGTAATTTTAAACACTTAATTAATATTTTAAATCAATTTTTTTTAGTGTAATCATATTAGAATTCATTTGTCCTTCCCAAGGTTCAGTATCCAAGTGAAAAACTGAAATTCAAAATGGCGCCTTGAGAATACACTATTCATAAGAAAAAAAATATAAAAAGAGGTCGTTGTGAGTTAAATATAAGAAATTTTTCCTCACTTCAGGGTCATTCCAGTGAACTTGATCTCGTTTCTCTGTAGGTGCTAAGTTTCTATCTCTACCCATTAGCTCATCGAGCATTTGAGACAACGCATGCGAAGCCATGTTCTTTTGGTCAAGTGCTTCGAAATCGTTGGAATAACGTACCCGAATCAATATATTAAAGTGTGATTTAAATATATATAAGAACGAAGATTTCGTTTCTATTTTCAACACATAAATTATATCAGGTTGAAATTCTAAAAAGAAATCAGTTTATCTTATAACTTTTCAAGATTTCAATGAAGGTCTATTTTTCTCTTCATCTTTCTTGTTTTGTAGGGATTTATTTACCCCCCCCCTCCTCCTACACGCGGAGAGAGAGAGGGGGAACAAAATGTTTCCTGAAATAGATATTTTAACGTCTAATATGTTTTGAATAAAATAACTCGATAATCTCTACTCATTCTACTTGCTGGATAGGGTCTCGCGCATTTGCTTTCATTTGTTTACCTTCACTGCCCCCCCCCCCCCTCCCTTTCGACAACACACACCGTGAAGCTTACAAATTATAAGGCTGTCAATAAGCGGTTTTACTTATGAGTGAATAAAAGAAAATGTTCTACTTAATTCACTATATATACAATTAGTAAACTGCAAGGTTTCAATTTCATATCACCGGAAGATTCCGGCAAACTTTGGCTATATTCCATTTTGGGACCGTCTTCTAAAGGAACTAACTTTAAAGAGAGATGATAAAGAGAGAGATGAAAGTCAAGCGTGGATCTATAAGGGGATGAAAAAGGGGGTGGGGGGGGGTCCGGACCCCCATGTGATTTAGAAGTTATTAAATTTCTATGTTAAAAAAACAAAAAAATGTCCTTGGACCCCCTCCCCAGTCCCCAGGAAACAGTGACCCCTTTTTAATGGAAAGTAGAGTCATGTATCTGATTACCCCCCCCCCTCCCCCTGAAATAGGTTTTTCGGGTTTGGGCAATTTTAAGTTGTAAGATACCTTGTTTTTCAAACAATTTCCGAGTCTGACATTTGTCACAGTTGATGAGGAACACCCCCCCCCCCCCGCATAAGAGAAATTTTCTCTCCCATTGTATGTTATTCTATGTTTGAGTGTTGGGGAAGGGGGTACCACCCTTGAACCCTCCCTTTCAAACATTGCTAGATGCGCCCCTGGTAGTCATTTCTTAAACTCTCTCTGTTTGATTGACTTTTTATGAACCCGAAATCGAAGATTCGCGGGCAGATAGTTTTTTTTTTTGGTCTGTCTGTTAACCTTGCCTATAACTTTTGAACGGTTGGTGCTAGGGCTTTAATATTTCACACGTATATTTCTTGTGACAAGAACTTTTTTGGGCACCATAACCAAGGTATTCGACTTCTTGGCCTTAGAGTTTAACCTACTTTTACAAAATTTTACCAAACTTTAACCTTAGATATATATAACTTTTGAACGGTTGGTGCTAGGGCTTTTGCATTTCACAAGAATATTTCTTGTGACAAGACTTTTCTTTGACTACCAACATGACCTCATGACCTTGACCTTTGCGTTTGAAACTTACTTTATCTGTAACTTTTGAACGGTCGGTGCTAGGGCTTTCATTTTTAGGTATGTATTTCTTGAGACAAGACCTTTCCTTTGATACCAATATTTTTTTTGTTACTTCATGACCTTGACCTTGGAGTTTGATATACAATTGAAAAAAGTTAACCTTGGCCTTGAACTGCCGTGCGGGCGCATTCGTGTTTCAGTAGTGTTTCACAAACACATTTTGTTTTACACTGTTACATATATATAATAGTCAGATACAGTGGTGTTTCAAGTTGATATTAAGGGAAAAGGGGGGGGTTCAAGAATATAATTTTGTATATATATCTCTTATTGTCCCCCGCTTTCGCGAAAGCGAGGGACATTAGATCTCATTCGTCTGTCAATCTTTCTCTCATCCCTCCGTCTGTCCGTTTGTCAGTCTGTTTGTCACAAAAACATTAACCTTGGTCATAACTTTAGAATGAGAAGAGATATGGCTTTCATATTTCAATATACATTACCTGTGACAAGACCTTTCCAAAGATACTATGATTTCTGACCCCGTGACCTTGAAGTTTGACCTACTTCTCAAAGATTTTAACATTACTTCAAATTGGTCATAACTTTTGAATGAGAAAAGATAGGGTTCTCATATTACATATGTGTATTACCCGTGACAAGTATAAATATACTTTTGGACCCCGTGACCTTGAAGATTGACCTACTTTTCAAAATTTTTATCTTTGTTTATAACTTTTGATTAAGAAAATATAGGGCTTTCATATTTGACATGTGCATTACATGTAACAAGATGTTTTTGAGCTTTGATTTTGATCTCTTGACCTTGACCTTCATGTTTGACCTAATTTAAAAAAAAAATTGGTTATTGCTTTTGAATGACATAGATAGGGCTTTCATATTTGAGCGATTTACCCGTGTCAAAAAGTTTCCGAATGTACTACGATATTTGACCACGTAACCTTGACCTTCAAATTTGACCTAATTTTCAAACATTTCATCAGTGTTTATAACTTTTGAAGGAGCAAAGATAGGACATTCATATTTGACACGTGCATTCAAGACCTTTCCGATTGTATACTCTGGTTTTTGTTATTTTTTTTCACTTGTGCATGACTTCTGACAAGACCTTTCGGATAGTATTATGATATTTGATCTCATGATCTTGATCTTGAAGTTTGATGTAGTTTTGAGAAGCTATAATCTTTGCCATAACTGTTATTAATTCAATAATTTATGTCTTTTTGTATGATGTACAGACAAGATAGGACACACAAACAAGACAGTTACAATATGTCATAAATATTAAATGGCATCCCATCCACTAAGACACCGAAAGCGGGGGACCACAATTCTTTGAATTTGCTTTTTACTTGAGTATAATTGCAATAAACAGTTGGATTGAGCCAATTTAACCTACATAAGTTAGAGTAAATGTATTTTAATGCTAACAAGAAACAATTAACAGGGACCAAGACTTTTATTTTTACTTTAGATAAATATTGTTACCCAATAACTAGCGATGAACTCAATAAACATGATAATAACTGACATTCTCCTAAGAGTGGTGCGAGGCAATTATTAATGTAAGCAGCTTTTATTTGAGGGTGGATCCTATTTTTACAATTTAATTACTTTACAGTATTATCAATGGTTATAAACTTTATTTTGACCTTGCATGGGAAGATTCGGGATTTCGAATGGGGGCTGGTTGTGGGGGAGGGGGGGTGTTAATAGCAAAAACTAGGACCCAGAGAATCTTCAGGTAACGGGGAGTGGGTCCACACCCACTCAAAAAATATTTCTTCATGTCCTTTTTTCAAAAAACAAAAGTTTTAAGGAAATAAAAAATCAAAAGTTTATAATCCTGTTTGTGTTGGGGAGGGGGGGGGTCACAAATCCGCTTTCCTTCATCCTTACCAGACTGCTTACTATATTTCAATACAGAAACTTGAAACGACTTGCGATCTTTGCAGTTGCAGTTGATTCAAGTTTAACAGCGTACATTTATTAAGAAAAAAAAATTTTAAGGGACCTCCCCTCTAGATCCGCCCTGTGAGACCATTTAATCCAAACGTTTTGATGACTGTGTCGTATTGACGATTGCGCATGGCCTGACAGAAGTGACGTCACGAATGAAGGATATCCACGCGGTAGACAGTGTCGCAATAAGGATTATTTTGAAGTGGAATTTGTGAAATTTTAAAACCAGTTTACTTTGAAACCATGACCGAAAACGGCGAAAGCCTCGCCCCTGATTCCTGGGATCAGGACGACGCCCAAGAAACCAGCGAAGTTACATCCCAGTTGTCAAATCTCAATGTAAATGCCCCAGCATTTGTGCCAGGGCAAAATGTTTTTGCAGCAGAATTTGTGCCTTCTTTTCAAACAAAAAGTGTTCCAGGTAAACATGATTGTTGTGTGTGTTATAGGAACAACAGTTTAGACTTCATCACCTGTGAACATGATGAAGGGAGGGGTCCCCAATGTCTTACAACTGTGCCTGATTAGTAATCATATACAGTCTTCCTCAACTGAGAAGACAAGAATTCAAAGAAATAACACTGGATATTAATCTAAGAAACATATAGGTGTAGATGAAACTGATTTATGTCAAAGGACCTTTACACAAAGAAATTTTTTCAGGTGTATTAATGGCAGACAAGCTTTGTTTGACCATTTCTTGTTAAATGAATTGTATGCGTTGTGGTATTACTTGTCAATCGAATTAGGGGCAGTGCTCAGAAACATGCCAACAATACACATATCAATGAACGGGTCTGTCATTTCCTCCAAACACCGAGATGGTTATCTCACGATAATTAGTCTAGTCTTTGCATATTCTTCAGTTTTAGAATTTTGTTATTATTGTATTTTTAAAACCTTTTTATGACCTTAAAAAGTACACTTTTAAACTTTGACAAAATGACATAAGTGGAAAATTAAAGCTGCTACCAAACTTCTGCACAACTTCAGGAATTTTGGAAATATCCATGCAGTTTGTATTGATGTACTGAAGAAAGAATGAAGAAATATACAAGGTTGGCTGGGAAATACCAGTTGTGGAAATTACCAGTGGCAAATAATGGTATTTCTGGTCCTGGTATCTATAAACTGGGAAATACAAAGTACAAAGTTAGATTTTTTTTTTTTGATTTTTTTAAATGTAATACATGATTCAGAAATTAAAAAAAAAAAAAGATAATAACCATAAAAACACAGATGAATATGTCTCTTTAATTCAATATGGTTAGAGTGTTAGCACTATTTTAATATTTATTGCCACTCCAGATCCTCTTTACTCCTATATCGGTTTATGACTTTGTTACTTCTTCTTTTGCTTACTTTTTTTCACACTTGCACTATTGTAAAGATTTCCTGTTAACTTTGTAATATCTTCTCTATACTGCAGTTACAGTTTATGAGAATAAACTATTGTCATTGTCCTAAGCTTTCTGTAATAGAACACAAGTTTCCCTGACTATCTGTTAAATAATCTTGAAATTATCAAATTAGAGTTTCTTTTTCATCTTAGTACTATTAATTAATTCAAAAAGAAAATAAATTTTCTTCAGTCCTTTTATAAACATTTAACATAGCAATCAAACATTATTTTCACAAATTGACTCTTGACAGTTGTGTGCTTGTGTTTCGAGAATAATCTACCTTTAGTAGAGTTGAAAGGCCTTCTAAGGAGTGACAATCAAACCACACTCTTTACATTTTAATAATTTTCATAGATCCTTCTTCATTTACATAAAATAAAACCCAAATGGGATCTTGGGGTTTCAGCATTATAGATCTGTATTAATTATTTGTAAATCATCAGTGATCATCTTAGAAAGATGTTGCTATTCTCAAATTCTATAATCATTGCATTGCTACAATGTGTTGAAGAAATAGCTGCAGAACTGTAGCATTGTGGTTTTATATTTTAGTTTTTAACCATAATGCTACAGATCCCGGAATGTGAATAAAGTGTAATATACGATGCAAGATTTTCTGCACACTTAATTTGGGGATGTATTTCACCACTTTCCAGCATTGGTCAATCAATGACCTTACATCCCCTAATTCTAGATATATTTTATAAATAACCTGTATATTTTATCCACCTGCTAACCCTTTATAGTTGTCTCTACAGACAAATAAACTCGCTTGTTGTGAATTTGTTGTCAGATGGCTAATGTTGGAAAGTGGCAAAATACATTCCTAGAGTGCACAGAAAATTTTGCACCGTAAATTGCACTTTATTTACATTATGGGATCTGTAGCGTTATGGTCAAAGACTAGAATATAAAACCATAACGTATAGTTCTCCAGCTATTGAAGAGATTGAGAGTTTCAGAATTTTTTCAGATGCATGGGATCTAAAATATTTTGTAGGAAATACCTTGCTATGGAAAGTAAGGCCATCATTTAAAAAAACTTTGTTTAATATACTCCGACCCACAATTTCATGGTGAATAGGTAGGTAGGTTTTTTTTCTACACTTTGATAATCATCATAAAAACCACAGACTTAGAAATTATCATTATTCAGTGTTAGAGACACCTGACAGCTAAACAGATTTAATATCTATTGCTATTCAATCTTTTAATCTAAAAAGCATCTTAGAAAAATGATAGACCTTAAATTTAAAAATGATACAGATAATCTATTAGGAGTTAGGAGTTTACAACTCTACAAAAAATATAAATAAATAAATGGAATTTAAAGTACTGAAAAACAATGATTCGGTAGGGTACGAGCATCGAACAAGTCATTTTTTTATTGTTGGCCAAAGTCGCACAGAATCATGTCAGGAGTGTATCTAAAATCTCTAAAGAATAGGGTCTGCAAACTGGCATTATGAGTTTTATTTAAGTCAGTGCAAGGATTTTACAATTCTATGTCTGCAGCAATAGTGTAACAGATTTAGTCTTTGATGTTAGATACATGTGCTCAACATGGTCAAGAGGTGTAACAAGAAAATCACCATTTGACAAGATTTTGATAACACATTTCACAAATAATAGTTGTTTTTGAAGAGTACTGAAAGAACAAAATGTGCAAGGTCCAAACTCCTTAAATTTAATACAGTTGTGTACATATAATATATGTGTGTGTATATATATATATATATATATATATATATTACTAGTATATTAATGATGTAGAAAAATGTCTTCAGATGAAATCTTGAAACTTGAAAATATATTCCAGAATCAAAGTATGTTCTGCAAAAAAGGGTGAAAAAACAGGAATTAACTACTTTGAAGTTCTTGTACTCTTAGTCAAGATAAAGTGAACTTTTTTTGTTTACAGTTTTAGATGGTGTTCCCTGTATCATAAAACTTACATGCTAATTTGTAAATGTTTAGATGATGGTCCCCCTGCACAAGAAATGCCAAACATTACTGAACCACCCCCTACAGGGAAGGACAGCACAAATACTGCCGAAACAGAAATGGGTTAGTATGATAGAACAGATTATAGAAGAATAAAATGTGCAGACTGGATAAGCAATATTTTAAAAACATGACCAATACCAAATGCTTCTGTTTTTATGTTTGTTGTTTTTTTCCCCCTGTTGTGTTAACCATGCATTCAAAATTACTATCACAGATTGCATACGCTGAAATATTACTGTGTATTAGTGTGTAATCATGGTAATTGTAAGAGATCTCAGATAAATTGATGTAAAGAATTATAAAGCATTTATATTGTAGTGCATCACTCTTTGTTTTGTTATGTTTTCCTTTCCTCTGGAATCGTTATTGGAAAAAAAACTTTTTTATCCCTGTCAGTTCAGATTTTTTAGGACTTTGTTTCACAACAGTGCTTAGTTTTGGAGTATCATAAATTTTCTTAGCTGCTGGTTGGCTGCAGATTGTTTAATAATTTACCACAAATGCATCTAACATATAAGGGGTATAAATCAATACATGCTAGCAGTAGTTATTTGGCATTTCTGCACATCATGCTTTATTTAAATGACATATTTCTTACATCCTTAAAGACTATGCTTGACACTGATTTACTTGGCATTTGAGGGAATACTACATGATTGTTTTGATAAATGGATTACTTTGGGTATATTGTGTAAAACCTTTGTTTAATAATCACACTCATATTTTGTGTTTTAGGATTGGGAATAATTTTTTTTTCACTCTGCTTTGAATCCATGCAAGTCTTTTCCATGCATCACATATCTTTTAGTCACTATTGTTCATTCTGTGGTTTTGTCCTTCTGTTTCAGTATATGCTTAGGATTTATTGCCTTTGGAAATGATTGATATTCTAGTGTATTTGCAGTTTATTGGTTTATTATGCTGACCCCATCAACATGCACTACACCAATACTTTCATTTATTTTAATAAAACACCCATTATTTTGAAGAACTAAAAATGCTATATGTAATAGCGATTCTGAGCTTGTCTCAAATGTGCTCTTCAAATATGACACCTGGCTCTTACAGAGGCAACAGAGAAATGGGAAGATGAAGGTGCTGAAGATGCTGAAATGGAGGAGGAAGAAGAAGAGGAAGAGCCAGTCAAAATAGCTAGCTCAGACGAGTCAGGGCCCAAAAAAGAACATGTTAATGTCGTCTTCATTGGCCATGTTGGTTAGTTTCTTTAGAGGTTGTTTGCATTTAAAAATGAAAAAAAATGAAGAATTGCAGAAATGCTGTACCTTACTGAGATTTTTTCTCAGTATTTAGCATACAAAATATTCCAACAGATGAATTCATATGACTATAGGGTATACTTATGAGACATTCACTTTTTTACGATAGATGCTGGGAAATCAACGATTGGAGGTCATATTATGTAAGTCGTTTATAATACAATGTATAGTCCAATGTGTCAATCTTGGATATTAAAGTAAATCTTTCATGTGTTTCGTATGTGATTAAAATCCCTTCACTTCATTTGCTTTTCAGGTATGTTACGGGTATGGTTGATAAACGTACTCTGGAAAAGTATGAAAGAGAAGCAAAGGAAAAAAACAGAGAATCATGGTCAGTTGATTCTGGTACTAAAAAAAGGTGTAAATGACAAAGCACTGATAAAGTAGGCCAAGAGACATGTGCTTTGACATTGAATAAACATTTGATTCAATGAACTTGATGAATTTATTTATTTATTTGAAAATGACCAATTGCACTCAAAAGCAAGTCTGTTTTGAATTTGTGACAGTGATCATGAGAAATAATTTAGAATTATTTTTATTCAAATTATTATAAATCTTTGAACAAAATGTGTAGAAGGAAAACATATGTAAGAGTAAGACTCACTCCACATGTTTTATCAGAATATTGTGCATTAAGTGATTACCACTAAAAGTAGCAAGTTTTGTGTTCAATATACTTTAGATAGCATTTATATACCCATCTTGATCTGTATGTCATGTGTAGTCATAAGTGATAAGTATTATAAAAACAAATTATTATATGTTGCAGGTATTTATCATGGGCATTAGACACAAACTTAGAGGAAAGAGAAAAGGGGAAAACAGTGGAAGTTGGTAGGGCATTTTTTGAAACCGAAAACAAACACTTCACTATCCTAGATGCCCCAGGGCACAAGAGCTTTGTACCTAACATGATAGGTGGAGCATCGCAAGCTGATTTAGCTGTATTGGTGGGTATTATGATAGCACATACATGTTCAATAGTCTGCATTACATTTTTACACTAAATTGGCATGGATGACAAAGGTTTGAATTTTGCCAACATCTTCATATTTTTACATCAGTAAAACTGTTACAGCTGTCTGTTTAATTTTAATTTTACATCATGACATTATACAGTGTCATTTATGAGGTAAGACAAGAGGTATTGGAATGGAAGACCAATAATATCCAAACTTAGACACAGTTTCCTTCTCTGGTTATACATCTCTATTATTTTCTTCACAACAGGTGATATCTGCACGTAAGGGAGAGTTTGAGACAGGGTTTGAGAGAGGTGGTCAGACAAGAGAACATGCTATGTTAGTGAAAACTGCTGGAGTCAGGCATTTAATAGTCGTCATCAACAAAATGGATGACCCCACCGTACAGTGGTCAGAAGACAGGTAAATATAAGAAACACAGTCTGAGATACACATCTACGTAGAAGACAAGAAATTCACTGGAAAACTTACTTGGGAGGGTGATGTACCATTTAGAAAAGACACCCACAATTGAAGATAATTACGTTTTCCATTTACATTTGGGAACATACTGTTTTTTTTTCCGTTTTTCTTTCTTCTTTTATCCATTTTTGTCAACAAGTTCTCTATATAAGGTCAGTGTATATTAATGAAACCATATTTTCAAATACAGGTTTAATGAGTGCAAGGAAAAGTTATTACCATACCTGAAAAAATGTGGGTTTAATCCAAAAACTGACATTTATTTCTTACCTGTCTCTGGGTTAACTGGTGCATTCCTCAAAGACATACCTGAAGAGTCTGTATGTCCCTGGTACAGGTGAGGATAAACTCATTTTATTATACTTCTGTTAAAATGTTTCCTATATAAAGTTAAGAAGGTAAACTAACTATCTTTATAGTCTCAAAATTTCCACATATAGCAAAGCTATACCCCGGGGTATAGTTTTTGTTATTATACTTCTGTTAAAATGTTTCCTATATAAAGTTAAGAAGGTAAAATAACTATTTTTCTATAGTCTGAAAATTTCACGTCTAACAAAGCTATACCCCGGGGTATAGTTTGTGCTATCCACCCCTCGGAAAACTTTCATTCAATTTTTGCCGCCAGTTTCGATTTCCTGCGATAAATCTATAGACTGATGATGTCATTATGACTTCAGTAGCATTGTGACGTCATCAGGATTTCAGCTTATTCTTGCAGTGTTATCTTACTCCAAATACTTCATTAAAACTTTTATAATTATTCTTTTGAACTTTTCATGTTTTGCCTATGAAACTGTAGTATCAGGTAATACAAACCCTCAGAAATTATGATATACATCAGTATAATAAAACGCTTATCCACTGGCTGTGAGTGGGATAGCTCTTTCATCAAACCCTTGACAGGAACTATTCCCCTCGGGCAAGCCCTCGGGGAATAGTCCCTGTCGCGGGTTTGATAAAAGAGCTATCCCACTCACAGCCAGTGGATAAGTGTATATTATAGTATGGCTTATTTACAGTTATCACTGTTTATATGAATACTTGGTTATGGTGCACTAATATTAGAATATTGTAGGAGAACAGATCAACAACAGAAAAATAAATTAAGATTTTGACAAAGACTATTGATAGCATATTGAAGCATGGAATAACTGCAGTATCACTGCTCCTAAATTGAAGAACTTAAAGCATAAAGTGAAAGTTGGAGGTCGATCTCTTGCTTCTTATATGTTAACAAGTTTAATCTTTCAACTGTGACCTACAAGTACATGAGATAACAATTTTGTAATCAATCATGGTAAAAATTTAGAAAAGGAGAACAAACAAAGACTTTATATTAAAGTAGACATTATGAACTTGGTTTGTAAATAGGAAAATTCTTTTAGGGACTATACTGACCAAAAATACAATGTGCACCTTGATGAATTGCTTGTGATTTGATACATTGCTTGATGTACATGTATATAGAGTAAGACTCTGGAAAACTATAAAAAATGTTCTAATATTGGATATGAATATTTAACATGTTCCATTTTTTGTGCAGTCTGATTGCTGTTTATTTTATTGAATAAAGGTATTTTTATCTGCCATAGAAATACATGTTCTGTAACAAGAATTTAAATTTTTAATTTGTAAAACTAAATACATGTACTGTCACTTTTGAGAACCATATCTAGAATCATCATGCAGTGTAGTAAATGTAGCAAAAAATAGCATAGATGCATATCAGTACTTAATCACACTGCTATATTAAGGAAGCTCTAAACACTAATGAAAAAAGCTTTTTGGACTTTGAGAAAAATATATCATATAAAGGTGCACATATTCAGTGTATCTAGTTCATTTTCAACATAGGGTACCTGCCTTATTTCTGCAGAAAAAAATGTTCAAAGACAAGGAAGTATTTGTGAACAGAAATCACTGTTGTTTACTTACATCGGGAAAATTAATGGAAATTATGTATTCAATTACTTAATCTTGGTCTAACATAACATTTAAAATATTTTAATTCGTAAGAAATTGTGTCATTAACTGTAGATTCCCATTTATTCTATTTTTCTTCTAAGGGCAGATCACTCTAACTTAATAAAACTACCATACAAATAGAACTTTAGAGTGCAGTGTTTAGAGCTTCCTTAAGGCCAAAATAAAAAAAATCCTAGATTCTCATCAGAGTTTTTTTTAAAAAATCGGGCGGGCGGATTTTATTTTGTATTTTTTCCATTGTGCAGATTTTTTTGTTGACCTGGTCAATCAGTGCAGATTTGAAAAACAGAAATTAAAAAAAAATCGAGGCGGGGTAAAAAAAAAATCGGGCGGGCGGAGATGAGAATCTAGAAATTTCTTTTCATTATGGCCTAAACTAGAGGTTTTATGCAGCCTGATATGTTTCAACTCCTATTTCTACTGGAATTTTGTACTTTACAGAGGACCATCATTGATATCATACCTCGACACAATGCCCTCATTCAACAGGTCTAGTAATCTACCTGTCCGTATGCCCATTGTAGACAGATACAAGGTATGGACTACAGCATTAAACTTATTCTGCCTTAAAATGAAAATAGTTTATTTGAAAATCAATTTGAAGAAGCATTTTTTTTTTTTTACATTTAATGACAAAAGAACAGCATTAATCCACACAAGATATTCTTCATATGAATGGATTTATATTCAAGAATCTCCACTTAAAAGAAAACATTTTCAGATTTGGATGTCATTAGATATCTCTCTCAAACACTTAAGTTTTCTCAATTTGACTGAACCTAACTACTTAATAGCTTTCATTTTAAATGATTTTAAATGTAACATTTCATTTAAATACAAGAGTATTAACAACCTGAGTATGAACAAGTCATGTTCCTGCAAACTGCCATAAATGTATCCATAATTCATCCATATACAGTGTAAGTGCTCCATAATGTATCCATAATTGCTGTATAGACAAGCACCTATATTTATTAGTGTTAAACACATCTTTAAATTGAAAATTTTAAGACAAGAATTACAGATTTTTGTTTTTTCAAAGTATTGTACATTGTAACGTGGTAGCAATTTAGCTTTTGAAGAATTTGAACCTCCTACAAGTACTAGATTGAATGAGTACTTGTTGACAACCCAAGTATCTGTACATGATTTATTGTTCAGTTATTTTGAACGCTAGGTTATCACTTGATCTTAGACATTTTTTTTTATTTATGTGAATTATTTTTAATTGCAGAAGTGTATGTGCTCTTTTAATACTAGATTTTCTGTTTTAGGATATGGGTATCATGCTTTTAGGAAAGCTGGAGTCAGGATGTATATCACGGAATCAGACATTCCTGCTGATGCCAAACAGAGTAAGAACATTTAATTATGATCTTCTATGAAAATTTATGCTTTGTGTGAGTTTATGTTCACTTTACTTGTAGATTAAATGAATATCTTAGCAATATAAATTTTGAGGATTGACCTGATTTTTGTTGATTTTTTTATTATTATTATAGGCAAGTGTCAAAATCATGCAGATTTTCTCAGATGACATTGAGGTAGAAGAGGCCAACCCAGGAGAAAATCTTAAACTGAAAGTATCAGGGGTGGAAGAGGAGGTAAGTGTTATGATTAGGGCTCTTCATTTCATGATGCTAGGAAAGACTTTATTGTAGTATTTGTCTTGTCCTATCCTATATTGAAGCACACTGATGCCTACCTTGTAAGTAGGGCTGTCAGGGTTCCCAAATTTTTCAGGTCGGGTCGGTTCTGTAAATTTTCTGTTCAGTTTCTTTGGCTTGGTTATTTACATACTGTATGGGGGATTAATTTCACGGGTTCTAATTTTCACGTTTTTCTCTTTTCTTACACGATCCCGGTTTGTTGAATTCGCGGAATTGGTATATAATAAAAGTTACCTCCCTTGTCTAAAGCGACATTAATCAGCGTTATATATCCACTTCACGAACAACAGTGTAGGTTTATATAAAATAGTTAGATTTAATAATTAATTGACGATTAATTAAAACAAGTGCAGTTATTAAAAGTCCTAGACTATAAACGTCGAATGATGATGCTATTATGATGAGTGCATGTACACCCCAAGATCTTCTTTCCAAAGGGATAATACATCGCGGCGAAAAACCACTGGACGGTAATAAATGTTTTAAGGTATGTCAACGAAATAATATCTTTCCACATCTTCAGCAAGCTCGATAAGGCCAAACAAAAAAATATGTGTGGTTCCGGTTACACTTCCAAAAAAATTAGGGTAGGTAGGTAGGGAATTTTTTTTTTTTTTTTTTTTTTTTTTTTTTTAGCAAAATGATTTTCTTAATTTTTTCTTTAGAAATAATACCTATCACTGCTTTGCAAACGGCATTTAGATGTGGTGTGATAATATACTAGTCAATATTGGTAGGGGACACCTAAATGTTAGTTTGCTTTGGATTTAACACTATTAAACTATGTTTTGCAAGGAGGCCGTCATTGCTGAAACTAAAACTTAAACTGGAGTCATTGATGGAAATCAGGGAAAATTCCGGAAAAAATATGAAAATTGCCAAAAAAAAGTTTAGGGTCGGGGGTATAAAATAGGGAAGGTCGGGTAACCGGAACCACACATATTTTTTTATTTGGCCTAAGTATTTAAATGATTTTTTTAAAAACCATGATGTCGATAAAAACTAATAATAGATAAAAATACACGTGGTAACATTAGTTACGCACGGGTAATCAAAACCCATGACCCACGTGTTTTGATTGATGAAACGTAGCATTGGCTTTTAAAACAGCTTTTTAACAAATGCAGGTTTTTATCTGCTGATTTGAATTAAAATAAAGCGTGATAATTAAAATAATTGAATGACAAGTACTACTCGTAATTACTGAAATGACCATGTACTGCACGTATATATACCTATCGTAGTCTGTTCTCAAATTTACAAATAAAACATGGAGGTTTATGAAAACTTATTCACTGTTTCTTGAATTCATGGATTTATCAACACCGTGAATATAGCGAATATTAACACCGCGAGTTATTTTCCCCCTATACAGTATACATGTATTTTAAACCTTAATTTCATGAATTAGACTTGCAAAAATCTTTATTTGTTTCTTTAAATTCACCTTGAAAACAAGTCTTAACCATATTAACATCTGTGTTTAGGAATACTAGGCTGACTATTAGCTACAACTTGACCACTCTTGCTTGATTTGATAATCATCTAATCCTTCTGTGACAAGTGTTTTGTCAGGGAATGAAGTAAATTTCAGTTGTGGTGTTTATTTATCATTGTTATCGGTGATGTTTGTTTATCATTGTTATCGCCATCATTCTTTTGATTTTGACACCATTTTTTGTTTAAAAGAGACTCTAATATACAAACTACACCAGAACCGAAATCTGGAAAAATTTAACTGAAACCGAACCAAACAACTTGAACTGTGGTTTTCTGTTATTTTGGGGAACCATGACAGCCCTATTTGTAAGAATTGTATTTGTTGACTTATCCATTGAAGTATTACCTCAGGACTGTGTGTTTATTTGAGCTGTGTTGGTTAATTAACTTCTTTTTCTGTTTTAGAACATTTTATTCAATTATCTTCTTGTAGGATGTATCCCCAGGGTTTGTATTGTGTCCTGCAACTAGTCTGTGTCATACAGCTAAAACATTTGATGCTCAGGTAAGGACAAATATTAATGTATATTTTACCCAAACAAAACTTGTAGAAGTGGACATACTGACAAATGTTTAAATAAAATGTTTCTTTCATATGAAAATTTTTATCTTAAAGCTACCAAATTGATGTTTTTAGCTCACCTGAGCTGAAAGCTTGTGAGCTTTTCTGATTATATGAACTCATCCACCTTCTGTCCCTACATCCGTCCATCTGTAAACTTTTCACATTTTCAAGTTTTTCTCCAGAACCACTTGGCCGATTTCAACCAAACTTGCTACAAAGCATCCTATGGTGAAGGGGATTCAAGTTTGTTCCAATGAAGGGGCATGCCTTCTTTCAAGGGAGATAATCAAAAATTAGTGAAAATTTGGTTGTATCTTTTTAAAATCTTCTTCTCAAGAACCACTGGGCCAAAATAGTTGAAACTTATATGAAACCTTCTTTGCATAGTGTAAATTCAAATTTGTCCAAATCATGACCCCTGGGGGTAGGGTGCGGCCACAATGGGGGATCAAAATTTTACTTAGGAATATATAGGGGAAAAAAATCTTTAAAGATCTTCTCAAGAAAAGCAAGTTGGGATTAGAATTGGGTCACAATGGGGAATTAAAGTTTTACATAGGAGTATATAAGAAAAAAATCTTCATAAATCTTTTTTCTCAAGAACAGCAAAGCCATGTTTAGTTATATTAATATAGAAACATCCTCAGGTAGTGTACATTCAAATTTGTTCAAATCATGACCCCCAGGATTATAGTGGGGCCACAGTGGGCAATGAAAGTTTTACATCGGAATATTTAAAAAATCTTCAAAAATCTTCTCAAAAACAGCAAAGCCATGTTAGTGATATCGATATGGAAGCATCCTCAGGTAGTGTAGATTCAAGTTTATTCAAAATCTTGATCCCATGGAGTAGAGTGGGGCAAGAATGGGGGATCAAAGTTTAACATGGCAATATATAGGAGAAAATATTCAAAAAACCATATTTAGTCATATTGATAATATGGAAGCATCCTCAGCTTGTAAAGATTCAAGTTTGTTCAAATCATGACCCTTAGGGGTAGGGTGGGGCCACAGTGCACTATCAGAGTTAAACATATGGATGTATAGGAAAAAATTCTCTAAGATCTTTTTCCCACGAACAGCAAAGTCAGTCACATTGATATGGAAGTATCTTGATGTGGTTTAGATTCAAGTTTGTTTAAATCATAACCCTAAGGGGTAGGATGGGGCTAAATCTATAAAAATCAAGACAACTGGGGGTGGGGGGTGGGGGGGGGTGGTCACAATAGGGATCAATGTTTTCCTTAGGAAATTATATAATAGAAAAAATCTGTTGATGAAGAACAGCAGGACCATATGACTCAGGTGAGCATTGTGGCCCATGGGCCTCTTGTTATATATTCTTTTATATGGTTATATATGCTTTCCTTATGGAATTCATCTAATTTTTGCTTTACCCCTATCCCCAGATTGTGATATTGGAACACAAGTCCATTATATGTGCTGGATATAGTGCTGTTCTACACATTCATGCATGTGCTGAAGAAGTAACGATCAAGGCACTACTGTGTTTATTAGACAAAAAGACTGGCGAAAAGGCCCAGATTAAACCCAGATTTGTGAAACAAGATCAGGTGGCAATAGCTCGAATAGAAGTCAATGGAGGAATGATCTGTTTAGAGACATTCAAAGATTTCCCACAGATGGGACGATTTACATTAAGAGATGAAGGTAAATACTTTTGATTACATGTATTTAGGATATTTTGACTAATAATTTGAATTTTAAGTATTGATGACACAGAGATGATGTAAGTATCACTTCAATGAAGATAGTCTATGCATTGATTAAACTTTAGGCTAAAACATTCCTTGATACAACATGTATACTGTGGTTTCCTCCTTTTTTGTTGAACGTCAATTTTCATTGTTTTTTTGGTTGAGCCAGACCACAAAATTAATTATTCAATGAACTACAAATCTTACTAATTATTGCATAGAATAAGGTAAGTTTCCACAACTTTATGTGTCAAATTGAATTTTTTGCCTTTCTTTGATGGTTATTTACATGTGAGGGTATTTTTGATTGAGGTGTAACCAAAATCATCTCTGTTCATATAGTGTCTTTTTCTAAGATTTTTGCAATTAAACAATTTAAATTTTGACAGCAATATATAAGGTAATGATGTATTGGACAGCAACAAGGATTCAATATGATAATTATGCACACATCAATGTACATAAACATGTTGATTCTTAGTTGAAGAACTTGTAGAAACTTGAACATTGTTTTATTGTTACATTTCAAGAATATCATAAAAAAGTGTCTCAAGAATAATACTCTTGTGAATTGTTTTACAGCACTGCATTATTCTGATTTGCAAAAGGTTTTCCATCTTTCCTTTTTTAGCTCACCTGAGCTGAAAGCTCAAGTGAGCTTTTCTGATCACATTTTGTCTGTAGTCCGTCTGTCTGTATGTCTGTCTGTCCGTCCGTCTGTAAACTTTTCACATTTTCGACTTCTTCTCCAGAACCACTGGGCCAATTTCAACCAAACTTGCCACAAAGCATCCTTGGGTGAAGGGGGTTCAAGTTTGTTCAAATGAAGGGCCACGCCCTCTTCCAAGGGGAGATAATTAAGAATTTGTGAAAATTTGGTGTCATCTTTTAAAAATCTTCTTCTCAAGAACCATTGAGCCAGAAAAGTTTGTACTTATGTGAAACCTTCATTACATAGTGTAGATTCAAGTTTGTTCAAATCATGACCCCCGGGGGTAGGGTGGGGCCACAATGGGGGATCAAAGTTTTACATAGGAATATATAGGGAAAATCTTTAAAAATCTTCTTCTCAAGAACAACAAAGCCACAATTAGTCATACTGATATGGAATCATCCTCAGGTAGTGTAGATTCAAGTTTGTTAAGATCATGACCCCCATGGGTAGGGTGGGGCCACAATGGGGGATCAAAGTTTTACATAGGAATATATAGGGAAAATCTTTAAAACTCTTCTTCTCAAGAACAACAAAGCCACAATTAGTCATACTGATACGGATTCATCCTCAGGTAGTGTAGATTCAAGTTTGTTAAGATCATGACCCCCAGGGGTAGGGTGGGGCCACAAGGGGGGATCAAATTTTTACATAGGAATATATAGGAAAATTCTTTAAAAATCTTCTTCTCAAGAACAACAAAGCCACAATTAGTCATTTGGTATGAAATCATCCTCTGATAGTGTAGATACAAGTTTATTTAAATCATGACCCCTGGGGGTAGGGTGGGGCCACAATGAGGAATCAAAGTTTTATATAGGAATATATAGAAAAAAAATCTTCTTCTCAAGAACAACAAAGCCACAATTAGTCATATTGATTTGGATTCATCCTCAGGTTGTGTAGATTCAAGGTTGTTCAAATCATGACCCCTGGGGGTAGGGTGGGGCTACAATGGGAGATCAAATTCTTACATAGGAATATATAGGAAAATTCTTTAAAAATCTTCTCAAGAACAACAAAGCCACAATTAGTCATATTGATATGGAATCATCCCCAAATATTGTAGAATCAAGCTTGTTCAAGGCATCCTCCAGTAGTAGGGTGGGGCCATAATGGGGGATCAAAGTTTTACAATAGAACATATACAGGAAATGTCTTTAAAAATCTTCTTCATTCTCAAGAACAACAAAGCAATAATCAGTCTTATTGATATGGAAGCATCCTCAGGTAGTGTAAGTTTAAGTTTGTTCAAATCATGAACCCCCACCCCCATCTCATCCTCAGAAGGTTTATATTCAATTTCATTCAAAACATGGCACCTTGGGGTAGGGTATGCCTAGAACAGGCGATCAAAGCTTTATATATGAATATATAGGAGAAATATAGGAGAAGAAATCTGCTGACGAATAACAGCAGGGCCATATTGACTCAGGTGAGCGCTGTGGCCCATGGGCCTCTTGTTTTTTTTGTTGCAGGAAAAACAATTGCAATAGGAAAAGTTCTAAAAATCCGAGAATAAATGAAACGAATAATGACTCAAAGGAAGAAATTTAAATGGGAACTAGTTTTGCTTTAAGTGCTCAACAGGAACCCATCCATTTGTGGAAATTCCAAAGATTACTGATCAATTGGACATGGAAATGTACTGTGCAGATTTCTGATTTGGAAAACAAATTTCAACTGTACATTATTTTTTTTTGTTGCAGGAAAAATGTTTGCAATAGGTAAAGTTCTAAAAATCGAGAATAAATGAAACAAATATTGACTCAAAGGAAGAAATTTAAATGGGAATTAGTTTTGCTATCAGTGCTCAACAGGAACCCATTTGTGGAAATTCTAAAGATTACTGATCAATTGGACATGGCAACGTACTGTGCAGATTTCTAATTTCTATTCTTTGGAGGTTTATTATCAAACAAGGTGCTTCATTATGTGTATGTTCTTTTTAACATTCAAGTATTGTTTTAGAAATTATGCTTCTAGATTTTTCTTTTTTTACTATGCAATTTGCTTTAAAAAAAAAAAAAGTAATAGTGAAATTTTGATCAAGTATGGTTTTTGTATTTTGTGTTCGTCTTGCCAGTTGTGACTTGAAATTTAGCTAGGTATTAATTGCATCAAAAATTTTTCATTTGTTTTTGCTTTTCGGTTTTTTTTTTAAAGATACATATCAAAACGGTTGTAAAATATTTCTCTATTAATGACATATGCATAGATGAAGTAAATTTAAAATAAGAATATAAAACTGTAATTCTGTTCAAACTGATTAAAGAATTAAAAAGGGACAAAACAACACATTCGTAAATGGTTGCTAGAGAAGCAATTAGCAATTGTTATGATACATGTATATACATAATGTATCAAAAAAGCATTTCAGATTTATTTATGTTACTGACAAGTTCAGTTTGTGCATGTTAATGTTAACTTTATACATACTGTTAAAGATTTCATTTGAGAAATCGATGTGACATATTTCTTTTAGAAGGCACACCTGGAGGCTGAAATTTCATATTTTCTACTAAATGTACAACATTTTACAAAAACAAGGGGAAAGTGTGCTGACATTTTAATGTTTTTATTCAATGAATGAACTGTCAACAAAAAGTACATGTATTTGCTATATGCTTACAGTTCTCTATTATACAGTACATACATGTATCATGAAATTTTTCTGGAAAATCTCTTTTAATGTCACTTTATCATATGCAAGAAGTGCTGATAAGATTTGACACCTTGATTGACCAAAAAAAGGGGGGAAAAAATAAAGATTTCAGCAAAGATTTTACATGACACTGTATTTTTTTCCCTTATAAAAGTACACACTCATGACTATGAGGGAATAGATTAACTTTTAGATTATGTTGCATCAAAAAAGTTATCAAAAGATATTTGATGTCAACTGCCCAGGTCAGTGCATTACATGTCAACTGCCCAGGTCAGTGCATTACAAAGTGAAGTTAACACAAATGCACCTTCAATGAAAACATAAACAAAAAGGACAACTTGAGATATACATGTAATACACGCTGCAGTGACCAGCTAAAAGCAATCAGGTGTAACAAATGTGAAGGATTTGTATACCTCATGCTGATATAGAAAACAAATATGGCGTATGCCTATTTACGAGTCTTGTTCAGCTTTAACATAGTGATCAGTAACAATGAACTATAATACCAAAAAAGCATGGACAGAAAGACAACTGCATATTAAAATTATTGAGAAAGTCGTAAAAACTTCAACCAGATAATTTTTAGAAAAAAATCTCATTGACAATACTGATAAAAATAGACATATTACTAAAAATTCCACTAGTCCAATTGGGCTAGTGTCCACCTACATTCAACCAGCCTGACCGAAATTATACTAGTGTTGGGCGTCAGGCTAGTGCTTTTGGCGCACACTAACAACATTGATTGTAATTAGTAAGTTAAAACTGAATTTAATTCCCACACCTTGTTTAACGATGGCAAAACATCTGGAATAGTTTAAAATGCCAAATTATGTATATTAATATTTAATTAAAAGTTATTGTATAAATATATATCGTCTTGCAATTTATTATTGTAATGCATCTTTGGGTCTCCGGATATGCTGACCAAAAGTAGGTCACAGTGACCTACTTCTCAGTGACCTACTTTATAGCTTTTCATTTTCAAATCATTATTGATGCATAACACAGACACTCTGAATCCAAGTACATGTATCATCAAACCATGTCATTTGATGCATCTTTGGTGTGTCAAAAAGAATGTCACTATTTTTGGGTTGACACACTCTGAGGCACCCAGGTGCATCAACCGAGGTTATTCTAAGCCTCTTAGTTTTCAAGATATTTAGCTAACGTTTTGAAAATAAACAATGTTTAATTCAGAAGTGGGTTACTGTTACCTTTTTTTAGCTCACCTGAGCTGAAAGCTCAAGTGAGCTTTTCTGATCACCCGTTGTCCGTCCGTCTGTCCGTCCGTCTGTAAACTTTTCA